ACGAGTTTTCTCTGGGGTAGTCCTCACCTCGACTGGGACAAGCATTGGGCACGGCTGCTGGCAGCTAGGACACGGTTTGGTACTGCAAGTCATCATGTCTGTCAGTCTCTCGTTACGAAGATTGTGCTTCAGTATCAAGAGGCTCGATGCCTGTTCAGCCTAGCAGTTGCTGCTTTCGCCACAAGCAAATGTTTTGGACTTTGGCATGGTTCGCCATGGTTTCCTGTGCCCACTCAATCTTCGATCTGCTACTATGTGATGTCTCTTCCAGTCTGCTGCAGCTTGTCCCTGTGCTTCCAGCTGTGGCGAAGACGAGGTTCAAGCCTTGAAAGAGGATCGATTTCAGCTTTCGGTTTGGGGGCCTTCCTCCTGCGATGCGCTGCGCAGCATTTCCCCTGACTTTATCACTCCGAACTCGAACACAGTCTGGGCTGCTAAGCGCCTTCAAGCCTCAATCAAAGTCAGCTTCTCGCATCACGATCCCCAGACTCCCCCAGTCACAACTGGCAAAGATCTTCGCGGCTTATTCTACTTTTTGCTTCTTGCTTGAAAAGTCGACTAGTGCATTTCGTAGGGCGGTTCGCCGATCTGTTTTTGCCCCAGTATGAAGGCATTTGCGACTGTCGTCCTTTTCCATGCGCACGGTCTGAGTCCATGTCACGTGTCTTGCGGCAAAAGCGCAAGTCTCGCTTCCTTTCGTCCTCGATTCTTAAAGGATGTCTGATTTTCGGGGTTGACTCGACACTGGGTCCCTAGCACTTAGGTGCTTTTTGGTCTAGGTCATGAGTTGTGTCTTTTGGAAGCGGCTGCTCCTCTCTTCGCCACGCAGGCTTGCCACCGCCTTCAAGAAAGTCGCACAAGTCTCAAGTCACACAGGCTACCAGGCCGCTTACAAAGACCCACAAGGGATGCTTGAAGTGGCCCCGCAAACACCACTTCGGAGACTTCTGCTTGAAGGTTTGTGGCAGCTCGAGCAGAACTTCCCTTAGCTCCCGGGCACACTTCCTTGGAATTTGCCCAGAAGCCGCAACTCCCGGCCCCCTTGAAACCACTTGGAGTATCGGGGAGCCGGGGATGCAGAGAAGGCGGGCGAGGCTGTTGAAAGCCCCGTAGAGCCTGACTATGCCAGGAAAATGCTTCGCTCTGCGATCGGACATGCAAGCTTGAAGCTAGCATACAGGCAAGCTCTGTGCAGTCTTTTGTCGACTATGTTCACCGGTACCTGTCCGTGCAGAGCCTGTCAGTGCAGTTTGAAGGAAGAAGCTGCTTTGGCCAGGGGCTGTTAGCACATCCGAGAATGACGCATGCGAGTTGTTATCCTCTTCGTTGTCAAAGTGGCAACGACGCCCGAACATGGCAAGCAGCATTGCGTTGCCCTAAGCTGGCGCGTTTCTTGTTTGAAGTAGAGGTCGGCGGCGCAGTGCGACTGTGTCCAGGGTCCAAGAATGGGGATAGCTGGTTGGCCTTCTCCGTTACTTCATTGATTCATGATAGAACAAACAAAACAAGAGTTTGAGTCATCTTTAGCTTAGTCTCCCGAACACAAAAACGACGGCCTGAAGCATGGAGGTCGAATTGCAACAAGCTCAAGAATGCGGGCTCTAGAAGCTTTGTGGTTGGAAGATGCGTTGTCGTTTCTTTACTTGGGATTCAGATTTCATATGTTTAATCTTGTTGTTCGGCGAGGTGATTAGATTGTCACATGTCGTCCGGCATCGATGTTCCTCCGCCAGTCTCAGACCTGCTCACATTCGCCTCGTGCAACAATGGGAGACGCATTGCATAGGATTCCAGGCTCTGTGCGGAAATGCAAACCACTGTGCGCTTGTATAGACGCTGAAACGGTTAGGAACTTGGTCGACCGACCGCGCTGCCAACCTGCCTTGCGCAAGCCATTTGCTTGCTTGCTTGTTTGCTGGGTACGCTGCATCCGGCGCCAGTGAAAGGTGCTTTGGATGAGCTGGCGCTTGAGCTTAAAGGTACTTAGAGCCGATGATGTCGGATTCAAATTCTGCCGGTGAGACCGTGCTGGGTGAATGAATGCAGATCAATTCTGTTGCAATGCACACCGCGTGAACATAGCCCCTGGCTTGCTTCACTTGCACAAGCTGAACGTGCGCCACCAAGGACAGCAAAGCCGGCTGAGAAACACGGCCGTCTGCCTCCCATCTACGTCTCCGCAACCTGTCAAGATGAAGAACATCGGTTTTCACACATGTGCAAAAATTGTAAAGCTCCTTTCCGGAAAAGCGTATGGCCGCTGCTCTTTCGACAAGCTCCCGGGGTATGACCGATTCTGATGTCTGGATGATGCTGAAGGTGCAGGAGGGTGATTTTTTGCATTAAGGCTTCGATGGGTTTTGGGACACGAGGGTTGCCTGGATGAACATGTAAGTGCAACGTGCCAGGAATGAGGGTCAATGGAGCTCACTTCAAGACTCTGTGTTCGATGTCGTTAGTCTCAAGCGCACAGCCCATCAAATTTTGATTTCAAAAGCGACATCGCCTCGGCGCTATACAGAGTTACAGAGGCAGGGAAGAAAGGAGCTGATCACGGAAGACTTTGAACGAGCATGTGCTTTGCCTCATCTTGGCTACCAGATCCTCCCCTTTCTTCTCCGACTTGCGCGTTCAGCGCGGAATTCAATAGTGGCCGCCCCACTGCACAGCGGATGGGGAAAGTGCTGCGTTTGGTCTGGGAGAATCAGCTGCAACGTGGCACGGGATCCCAAGACCTCCGCGCAGTGACTGATCTCCTCTGCAATGTGCTGGGCTGGCTGCTGGTGCAGGAAACATTCCAGGCGGTTGAGACGTCTGAGAGAGGGAGCAAGGTCATGAAATCATGGAGGCGGGCTCATCTGAGCCTCGCGCCCTTGCCTTGTTCGGGTACTCTCAACGTAGCAGGGGCGGCGGATGTTGCGACGCAGCATCGGGACTGGTTGGAACGCTGATGTGTAGCATAGACATGGGTCACGACTTGTAGAATTGTAGAAGAACAGCGGTTTTCGAAGCAAAGGAATGATAGATTGCACAGCTCCCGCTATCGCATTGGAACAGGAGTAGTTCGTAGCTGTAGCAGTTGCAATAGTCGTACTGGTTCTTGTCTCTCGTCGGCTCTTCGTATTAGTCGTCGAACTGGTCGTGGCCCTAGTCATCGGACTCGTCCTGGTCCACGTCGTCATTTCGTAGTCGCTTCGTGTAATAAGTGTAGAAGTAGTCGTCGTCGTGGTGGTCGTGATCATCGTCGCCGTGGCAGTAGCAGTGGCAATGGTAGTGGCAGTGGTAGTGGTCGTGTGGTAGTGGTAGTGAAAGTGGTAGTGGTAGTGGTAGTGGCAGTGGCAGTGGTCGTCGTCGTCGTCGTCGTCGTGGTCGTTGTCGTCGTCGCCGTCGCAGCTGTAGTAGTCGTCGTAGTAGTACTAGTCGTCGTAGCATCCGTAGTAGCCGTAGAAGTGAGTACTCGCAGCACTTGTTGCAATAGCCGTAGCCGCAGCCGTAGCCGTTAGCCGTAGCCATGGCAGCAGCAGCAGCAGTAGCAGTAGCAGTAGCAATAGCAGTAACAGGAGCAATAGCAGTAACAGGAGCCGGAGCAGGAGGTAGTCGGTCTTGGTTGCTCAGCACCTTTCGACCTCAATCCCATGCCATCAGATTCCCAGATTCTCTCAGATCGTGGATCGGCATCCAACCAGCACCAAACTCGTTTGCTTGTCTACCGACGCCCGCATCGTGCCGATGCAAACTCCGATTGATCCCATGCATCTGGGAAGAAAAAGTGATGGGATGGCACAGCCTGTCAGGTAACTTGTTGAGACGAAATTCCGGGCCAGCTGTTGCCGGAGCTTATGTGGTTTATGTCCGCTGCGGATCAGAACAGCCAGAGTAGGGTGCAGAGCTGCAGGTATTTGCGATTCGTGTTGTCTTGCATCTCCAGTTTCGGCGTGATGTCGACTCTTCCGTCTGGGGTTTTGGAACTGGTATATACTTCCACTGTGCAACAGGCGAGACACGAAGGCTTGGGTCCTAGTGGTAAGTTGTTCTGTTCGAGGATACTGTGTACCTCTATTCTGGGAGTCTTGAAAAACCTTGTTGCTTTCGATGCACTCGGTTTTTTGATGCAGGATATGTCAGCTTCACAGTGCAGCCGGTCGCATGGAAAGTGGGAGTGATCTGACTAGAGTAACATCTGGGTTGCTGCACCGCAAGCCCTTCTTCGTCTTGACATGTTGTAGCACCTTACTGGGACCTTAGGAGTAGCTGGGACCAGACAGTACAGCTTCAGAACTAACTAACACTTGAAACATATGTTTCAGACATGTGCGATGTACCGGCGTTGCATGATCGGAAACGGCAGGACGTGCAAGGCTGAGGTCTGCTTTGAGTGACTGGACGGTCCGAAGGGTTCGATACATGCTGCGGGAGCAGCTGGGATGCAATTGCCGACTCAACGGGGGTGCCCGTGGGCTGACACGCCTTGATGCTTTGCAAACGAGGCGCAACTCTGGACGAATGTTAGTTTAGAGCCACACAGCCGCCCTCGTGCGTCACATGTAGGAGAAGATTTTTGTATGCGATTGAAACAGATGGTCGTGTAACTGCACATGACCTTGAGCAGGGAGGGCACATGTGTTTGGGGCTGGGCTGCCGAGGGAACATCGAGTGAGCCGTGCAGGGGGCACCACATTGCTGTCATTAATGGCTTTCTGACGGTTCTCTTGCAACTCAAAAAAGACATAGCTCGCGTGATATCCACTTCCTGACCGCAGCCTGGGTTGAACATCTCGGAGCTCCCACGCAGCCATGGCAGCCATCCCTTGGAACGAACGCACCCTTTTCACTCCGGTGGAATCAGGCTGCGGCGGAAGATGAGGGAAGAGAGGGAGCGGTGAAAGAGAGCAAAGCAGGAGGGGGTGGACGGAAGAGTTGGCCTGCAACCTTTTCCATTTACAGAGAGCTCGCACACTCCTATACCCTAAACCGAAGCAGCCGAAACACTAATCTAGCAGGTGTGGGAGGCCTTATGGTTGGCATGCCGCTTGTCTCTACAACATGTCTAGCCGGCGCAGTCAGCTGCTACGGTCCGCTGTCTTCTAATTCCTTCTCCACTTGCTTTGCTTTCCTGCAGTCTTATCGGATCAGTGTGTTTCCCCCCCTCCCCTCCCCCCCAATTTTTACAGAGACCTGGACCTAGCGCGTTTCGCAAGAAGCTTGGGTTTTATGGGGCTCGGGGATGGCTGCGGGGCTCTCCATAGCAGTCCCAGTTCCGAATAGCAAAAGTCGTGAGTCTCATGATTGCACTGGCTGCATCGTGCCCATGTCCATTTCTTGGTTGCTCTGATGAAGGCAACGACAGTGACCCGGCTGGCGTGAAAAGGAAAAAACAAGGCAGATGAAGAAACCCTGTTGCACTTCCGGCAGTCCTTTCTGCCCAGGTCTGCAGCCATGGCCTACCTCATTGATGGAAAGATCACAGGGATCTCGGGAATCGTCGGCCCTTTCGTGAGGGGAGCTACGAAGTGCGAACCGGTGAAGGACGGCTTGCTGCGCTGCCGCCTGGGTCATTGTAAGCATCATGTGACTGTCCAACGGCAACGGTCAAGCTACCAGTACAACATGAACCAGCTGAGGCTTGTCAGTTGCTTCAGGTTGAAACGTGTGTGGCCTGTGGTCGAGAGAAAGCCTGCAAGCAAAATATAGCTTTCAGGGATTGAACAAGAGCTAGATGCCTAGAGATTGAAGACTCGCGGACCCGATGTCAGCCAGTGAGAGGATGGGCAGCTTTGGAAGCTTCTGTTTCTGACGGGCCTCTTCCTGGGCGGCTGGAGCTTTGGTCAAGAATGGGTCGTTTGATGCTAAATCGAGCTTAGGGAGCACAATGCTAATCGTAGCCCTACACTCAACCAACACTGTCCAACAGGGAGACAGGGACCATCAATCTTTGCTTGACCTCGAAGTGCTCCGACCACCTTCTGCCGCAAGATGCATAGCAACACGGGCTTCGGCACTGCATGTCCAGGGCTTAACATCCCTAAACCCTAAACCCTAAACCCTTAAACTAACCCTTAAACCCTTAAAGAACCCTAAACCCTTAATCTTAACCCTTAAAGTTCTGGCCCCATGTGCAGGGCCAGGTCAGAGAAGGAAGAGGCAGCTCTGAAGTTTCAAGAAAAAAAAGCTGCGAACGAAAGCAGATGGATTAGGGTTTAGGGTTTGGGAGGATTTAGGAAGTTTAGGGTTTAGGGGTTTTTCTATGGATTTGGATGGATTCTTGCAGACTTCTGCGTGCTCAGCCTGCTGAGGATTGACCTGGCTGCGAATTGGGACTTCTCCTTCCCGAACGTGCACGTGGCTGTTTCAGAAGCCCATGGCACTGAGCCCAAAGCGCAAACCCACCCTAACAAGCCCAAGTTCCGAGCCACTGCCGAAGCCTCCGCCGCCTGAGTTCGAGGAGAATTGCTCTCAGCCTTGCCCTCTTTGCTGAGAGTTTCCGGTTCAGGTGCCCCGACTGAATATCTTCCAGTACATCTTGGGAGGCAGGGATGTCTGCTCTGCGTAGAGTCTTAGACTCACCGCAACTGCAGGCATCTGCGTGGGCATCGGCACTCGAGCTGGCAAGGCTGGTCCCGACCCATTTCCCACGACACGAAGTCACTCGCTAGAAGGCCATTTCTTTTTCTAGACGCTGATCCATTCAGCAGGGCCACAGGCAATGTGCAAAGTCTACTGGTTAATGAGACGTTCTCGAAACTGCGCGAGAGCGAGAAGCCACAGCGACCCATGCACGAAACGGAGCTCCGTCGTCCACGACTTCCGCTTGGCAGGGCTGCACTTCCGGACATGGCATTTGTGGGTTGCCCCGGCTGTCGCTGCGCAGCTGGCGGCCCGGCATGACATGGTTTGGGGCCCAGGCCCAGGAGTTTGCGGAATTTTTCGGCAGAGTTTATGGGACTTCAGTGAGGGTGTTGTGCTCGGAGGTGAGGGTATATCTGGCCCACACAGGATCCTTATGGCTCCTGTGTCAATGAGGCTGAGCTGAACAAAGTGCCTTTGCAACGGAATGGCTGAACTCGAATCTCCCGTACATGAACCCAAACCTCGAGAAGAAGCAAATCGACACGATAGCAACTGGTTTTAACATCAGCATCACTGAAACCTCGCAAGCAGAACTGTGCGCCCATCCGGGTGCATGCAGGCAAGACAGTATATGATCGAATTGCATTATCATACGATTTCGTGACGAAGTCCACGGTGTTCACGCAAAGCTAGTGCCAGAGTCTGCTGCAGACACCAAACCCACACGTCAAAGCTATGTTGACAAGCTTCCTGAAGGCCATCAGGAATGTGAGACTGGCCTGACATTTGTCAGGGCACTTTGCTTGTGGAAGCAAGGCCCTTGCCTGCATGAGTAGGCACGAAGATCGAAACTCGTCTCTCGCGTCATGCTCCCTGCTCTGCACCTTGCCATGTGCGAGGGTCGTCGTGGAGTTCGGGCGATTGAGCTAATTTTGTGTTCAGCAAATCCTCGCCAAAAGATTCAGGATTGCAGTGCCTACGTTTATGGCTGTAGCAGCGATCACGGTCCTTGCGCCTTGGTTCCAAAGAGGCCTTCTAAACCTGGAGGAGCTTGGGCCCTAGGCATGGTCTTTTTTGTCGGTTCACAGTTGAAGATGGGCGACTGTTTAGACTGTGAGCAGGTATAAAAAAAAAGACATCGCTGCAGTGTTCTGCAAGGTCACCCGCCACGCGATCAAACCATACAATGTGGAGCCTCTCGGCGGCTTGCAGTTCCACAGCAAAGGCAGTTTGAAGCAGTTCACCATTCTTGGCCGGTGCTTCGTTCCACCAGCGCCCGAAACCCTAAAACAAAATGCCCTGAGGTACAACTCGCAGATTGCGCCGATGCAGTGGCCACCGGAGTAGCTTGGACCAGTTAGAAAGGAGGCTGCCCCTGAAGGGCAGCTTCATGTAGCAACGGAGGCTGCTCCGAAATCCAGCTTTAAATCCAAGCGAGCGCAACCCCAAGTAACTTAGGGTAGGCTATGTCTGGAGTTGAAGGCACCCCATAAGGGGCTCTCCTGATCCTAGTGCATGAGAAGCTTAGGTGGGAATTCCCGATTTTCGCCCTTCTCTCCTCCCTTGCTCTGGTGGCCCTCAGCGTCCTCCTGCCCACCAAGCCACGGAAGCAACCTGGCAGCACCTGGAGGTAGCATTCTTTCCTTGCCCCCCAGCTTGAAGCCCCCCTTAGGCCCAGGAAAGGCCTTGCCTAGAGTCCGAAAAGTCCCAGAGAAATCCCCCAAAGCCCAGAGAAGAAGAGAATGGCAAGTTCGTCTCTCCTTTGTGCTCGGGCATCATCTTCGCCCTGGGCCTCGGCGCCAGCGGCATGACTTCCCAAGCCAAGGCCCCGGGCCCAACAAGAAGGAATCACGACGGTTCTGCAACGTTCGGCAATGTTCTGCAGTCTGCAAGTGTCGCTGATCCTGTCAGAGTGCCATAACAGAATCCTGACGAAGCTAGGTGCACTTTCAGCAACTCCCTTGACCAGCAGAAATTGCCAAGCAGGTGCTGAACTTCCTGGACTTCGCAGGATATTGGGATCCTTCCCTGGCCTTCGTCATGGGCTGCGGCATCTGTGAACCCTGGCCGGTTGGGGTGTTCAAGTCAAGTGCAAGCCACCTTACATGTCCACGGCAGTCGTTTTCAAAGGACGTCGCAGCTCAGTGCCCATGTTCATGTTGACTTGAGCATAAGCCTAGCGAGTTGACCCTCGTTCTGCCTACAAGCTGCAGATTATTTACCTGTCACAGTTCATTGGATTTCTTGCTGGCTGTAACGGCTATGGCTTCAAATGGGCTGCAATCTGTAATCTCTGTAATCTCTGTCTCTATCAGCCTTCGCACCCTAATCTCTCAGGTATCGAATCATTCCGTTTCACTTGAGAAGCACCGGCGAAAAGTCTGTCATGCAACGGTGCAAGGCGAGGTTCGCAGCTCTGAGTTGAACTTCTCACGCCCCCAATGTATCAGCCGCTTTTGGAAAAGCAGAAACGAAAACCTAAGCCCCTAAACCTTCGAAGACAATCTCAGGTGAGCTTCCCCGCGTATCTCATCGCGGCTCCTGAGCTTCCAGCAGCGAGAGACGGAAGAGAGTTTATGTCAGAGTTGATGTGTTCTAGAGGCGTTGTACTTCAGGTCTGCCTCGTCAAAAGAGGGCATGTTATGGACCGTTGGCTGGTATAGAGGCCAAGGATGATCAGGCACATTAGAACCACGTGAAGCTACGTTGAGGTCTTCTTCGGTGTTCCAGGGTACCCATCCTTCCGTCTTGAGCCGCCCGATACTGAAGGGCCAGACCCGAGAACACACATCGACCTTTTCCCGAGGAGCGTGGTGGCAAGCAGCCCTTTTCTGAGGCGCGCCGCGCATGGGTGGGTGGGTGTGTGTGTGTGTGTGAAAATCCCGTTCCAAGTTGGCTTTCGTGGTTTGCGGAGGACGAGCAAGACAACACGAGAAGGGAGCAAGGAACGACAGACAGGAGCAAACGACTTTCGATCAAGCAGACAAGAAAAGAAGGAAGAGAACAACAACGAAAGCAACGATGCAACAGATAAGCCTAGACACCAATGCTGCCAATGCTCTGTGGTTCGGGTAACTAGCCGGATTCAAAGTTTGAAGAACCAGCAAAAGCGCTAAGTAAGATGTGCACAATGTTGCAGTTGGTTTTTTGTTTGTGTGTGTGTGTGTGTGTGGGGGTGGGTGGGGTCCTGTCTCTTTGAGTATGTTGTAACTTGCTTCTTACTGAAGGCATCCTTTTGTCTTCCCTCGTATTGCACAATGTGCGCATCGACAATACCTTATACGAATAAAGTTCCAGTGGGTCCCATCACCTGTTGTGTGCCATGTCGTCGTTCAAGCTTGTACTCAACTGCCGGCTTCTGTGCCATGTTACATCACAAAGTATACCTCATCCTTTTTGAACTACATCCCGTTTGATCTGTCATCCTATGTTCTGCATGTACACAACTGCATTCCAAGCGAGATTGTAGTATTCAAAACTTTGCACCCTGTTACTGGGAGTGCCAACTGCCATGGCTGTACACAGCTTTTTGCATGGAGTCAGAATACGTGTGAACACTTATGCAACGTGTCAATTGCTCCGTACTGTACCCCCTTTGTTGTGTCATGACAATGAACTCTCATGCAATGCTGGCACATATGTCTTGCCACACAGAGAAGTCGGCACTGACCCACTTCCATGTTGAACTGAGACGTTGAAGCGATTCAGATTACGTTCCTGTCATGATGACCTGCAAAAATGCCGGGAGGCTTTACTTTCAAAACAGTCCTTGCTACCTAGCTGGCGTGGCCCCACTCTCGAGACCAGATTTTGAGATGAACAGTTCTGGTGTTTGGACGCGACTGCTTTTTCTGCCAGGGATGCACTTTCGAGAACCCGCCGAAGAAAGGGAATTACGTGCCGTTGCTGATTGGAAACTTGGCAAACCTAGTGGACTTGAGCTACAGGGTGCCAGTTGCAGCTACAAGGTTTGGCTTCTTCTCCTCTTGTTTGTTTTTTAGTCTAAGTCTCGCCGGCAGTGTCCACATATCAACGCCAGCCCCGAGCGTCGATCTGGTGTGCCAGGATTTGGCAAGACTTGAACCATGGATGCTCAATTTCCGAGGTACCTCGCTGTTTGGCCTTGGTGCCGGCCCCAGTGGATAGCCGTGAGCTCTGCCAAACCTGGGAATGGTTGCGTACACTACGACGAGCTCCCGCATGCAGACGAGCGTTTTTTTGCTGCACTCAGTTGAGGCTGGGGTCTGGTGGGCGTTTGCCCTGGACCAGCATTGGCCGGAGCGGCCCCGCAACGCGGCGAGGGCTCAGGGGTCGACATGCCGATTCGGGCTCGGGCTTGGATTGTGGCAATACGGATTCTAAACGGAGGCTTTCCCATGCAGCCGTCCCTTCAAGGTATATCGCAGTGTGCATACGTTCCGGCGACATCCAGGACGCACCGGAGACGTGTTGATCGAGCCTTCATAGAGCCGTCCTGGCAGGAGCTGTACTTCACGGTGACCGCCATCATTGTGGTGATAGCTTGGCTTGTGACTGACAGGCTGATCGTGTCCCTTGGACTTGGTAAATTGTCTTGTGTGAATGGTATATGCTCGGTCGCAACTAGAGCTCCAGTTTTGCCATAACACCGTTTACAGAACTTGGTGCTTCTGCGCTTGTTAGCAGAGGCGAAAATTGCAGCTTCATGTCCGAACAAACGCTAATGCAGAAGCACAGTCATCCTACCATCAAGCCACGGAAGCACACAAAACGCAGTGAGTTGTGTTTCAATGCTGTTCACTGCTTCTACTACCATCGTTGCTAGTTTTGCCAGTTTTGCCCAGGCATTTTGGTCAGACGCAGTCTCCGGTGACCGCGACGACCGAGCCCAAAACTGGCCAGTGAATACTTCCGGCGAGGACGGGGCTAGTGGTGCACTGCAAGTTGGTCTGCAATCGTGTGTGCCGGACCATCCAACAAACCATTTCCGGTCTGTTGAATATGTTGTGGTACACATGTTTGGGGAGCTCTCATGCCAGTGAACGGGTGCCGTGGGAGACGGGCAGAGCGATCAAGATCTGAAACGGCAAGGCGGGCATGCAAGTTTTTTTCTGTGCAGGCGAAGGAAGAAGTGTGCTTGAAAGTGCAGACGAAGATCCAAATTAGATGTGGCCGGATCATATTCAACACGGTACCGGCAAGTCAAGCTTCATGTCTCCCGAGCATGTCGCACATAGTCGAGCTGCATGACAAAGTCGCACAAGTTGACAACTCATGTGGGATGACTTTGAGAAGACCAGCCACTGGGTGTTTTGCCTGGTTTTCGCAGGATGCGGTGCCTCGTTGGCCTTGGAGCTCCCGCTCCCGTCACCACCAAGTCCTTCCCTGATTTGAGTCTGAGTGGTCCGAAACTGTAAAGGCCCGCGAGTACCCAGGCTCAGCCAGTGTCCGACCGGACCCTAGCAAAATTCGGTTAAGTGTCGCTCCCGCCTTTGTGCTGGCAGCGGCAGCACACACCGATCCTCTTCATCCAACCTTACTTGCCTAGCCAAAGAACGACACGTCAACATCCCCATGCTGTGGTAGTTGCGATACGGCAGCTCGGCTCGAGTGTGTGTGCTCTTTTGAAGAGATGTTTCACATCATTGGCCAAGCCATGCAAAAGCTCTTCGGCTCCCGACATGTTCGGGGAAGCGAGGCTCAAATTTGTCAGAGCAGTCGGGAGACCAACAGATGCTCACGGATTCGATCGGAGCAAAAGGGCAGGTGACTACGGCTGCGCGTGTGCTTCTTTCATCATCTATTTCGCAACTGTAGCGGGGCCAGTTTCGCGCGAGACTCACTTTGGCCCACAGGCAGACCGCTTCCTTCACAGCAGCTTACGGCGACTGCTGGCTCAGGTATCCCTAGCAAGAGAATCGAACACTTTAGGTGAGTTTAGTTGGACCTTCAACTTCTGCCGTTGCAAATTCTTGGCTCGGCGCGTGTGAGAGCAGAACGAACAGCACAGCACCTCCCTTGTCTCGTCTCAGTTTCACCGTTCTATCGGTGCGCGAGGCTCGTGCTTCAACGTGGTGCAGCTGTCTCTAAAACCGCAAAGGAACGCTGGGCCATACTGCGTCCCCGTGCTGCAACCCTGCATTAGATGGGGCAGCTTCGGGCTTCTTGGTTCACCTGCATCCGCTTAAGAATCGATTTTTGCGGAAATATTTGTCGAAGCATTCTTGGTGCGCGGAGACTTGTTGTGTACAAACCCCCTAGCGGAAGCGGTGAGAGTTCTGCAGCGCATGTCGTCAACACTTACGGATTGAAAAGTTAATGGGCTACCGGCACATACTGGCAACGGTCTGTCGCCAACCGAAGAGTCTGTTGCCGAAGGCTGGCAGCAGCTGGCCATGCTGCAGGCGGCATACTACAACCAAACAGACATGTCCGGCGAGAGATGACGTGACCCCCAACAACGATTACAGGTGCCCGCCATGCAAGCCTTACAGGGCCGTGAAACGACAGAGAGCATAGCCAATTGGCATGCTTATTAACAGGTTCCACAGACTTTGCGCAATTTCAGTTTCGGACCACGGAGAGCGCTCGCCGACGGCTCGACGTGTGGCCGACGGCATGCCCGCCGCCGCCGCACGCGACTCCGAACGACTGGCAGGTATACGATCTCCAGCACCTTCGTTGCTCATCATGGTCTCAAAGTGGGCACAAGAACTTGACAGCGGCGGTGTTGATATAATCTCTGCACCGCGGCAAACAACCAGTGATCGGGGGCAACAAGTCCAATAATGCCGCTATTCACTCACATGAACCTTTGGTCGCGGAAGTCTCTGGCTGGCCGAGAAATGGGTGAAATGCTGTGTGGTCTTGTGTTCTTGCCAGACCAGTTACCAGCTCTATTGTCAGCTTCCTTGCCAGTAAAGAACAACTGGATCAACGAGCCACGCAACGATGTGGGGCCCGCGGGCTGCCAACCGTCTCAGTGCGGCATCAGAGCGAACCCGACGGGCCGAAGCATGCGAAGCGTGGCGGGAGTCTCTGTACGAACTCAAAACACTGCAAGTCTGCACGGCCAAGCGTCTTGGCAAGCGAGCGCATGCTGACGCATGCTAGCTCGTCCATGCGGACACTGCTCAAGTGTGCTGCGAGGGGCTGCATGCGGCGAATGACCCTTTGCTAGCACTCGGCGTGGTCTTGCTGCGTATTTCACTGTGGCCTGAACAGGACAAAGTTGCAGGCCAACGAACTTGCTGGCAAAAGCCGGGTCACATGTCAGCTTTGTGTTGGGTCGCTTGTTCTAGGGACGCGAAAATCACTTAGGGCTTTGTACCGTCGGCTGAGTTTGGATTTGTCGTTGTTTTTGCGGACACACTAAGAAAGGAGCAAGACGGGTGGTGAGATCTAGCGTTTTCTCAAGGCTTATATCAAACTCCAGAACACATGTCAACCCGAAACGAGAATCGCGGCGTGCTGCATACGATTGGATTCAAGCGGATGCAGCTGTGCCCGCAGCGAGCCGTGGTCGCATCAGCATTGAAGCTGCCACTGCCTAGTGCAATACGCCGTTCGCTGTGCGCATGGCGCGCAGCGCAGGTCCAGGCTCGCGGGCAATCGGGCCCATGCACGCACACAATTTTTTTTCCCAGCATGCAAGGTCCCGGATGTGCCGGAAGCAGAGGGGCAAAGAAACGAGGCTGGCAACGAAGCCGTGGGCGGCCGCGAAGGAGACCATGGCTGACCAGCGAGCGGTAAAGGCCGAAATGCTGGGATCGCGGGACCAAGTGGGGGCAGCCCGCGCACGAAGGCATGTAACGAACCTGAGAAAAAAATGGCAGGCTTCAGCGCTAACGTGGCCACGAAGCTGCAGGGCGAGGACAACGGGCTCGCACCTTGCACTTTCCACCGGGGTCTGCGCTGCGGCAGCTTCCATGCCGAGCCGGTCCAACCTCGACCTCGACGAATGCCAATTTGGCGACCGTCCTCTGTTGCTACGCATGTTGCCAAGCCGCAGTTGCTTTTCTTTTTTTCCGGGCAGCCAGTCTGCCAACCTTCAAGGGACATGGATAGCCTGATGCATGGCCGTTGCAGCATGTAGAGACGTCTCCTAGGCCGAAAGCATGTAAAGCAAACCTTACCACACGGCGCTTTCAAAACTTGCTGGTGTCTCACATTGGCTGCATCCGTAGTCATGGTTGCGTTTCATTAAAGTTCAGCAGCGAGCGACAGCTGCAACATGACACGCCTTCAGCTTCGCCGCCGCCCGCGCCCCCTGCAGCCAGCAATTTCGACGGCGATGTCTCGTTGACGCAGCTTCAAAACCGCCCTTACTTAGGACTTCAAGGAGTCACATGCCCAAAACAATGTGGGTTGCAAACGGCCCGGGCAAACGGACCGCTCCGTTCCGGATGTTGGTAGAAGGGTTTATTGTCAACAAGAAACGCCCTGAAGTCGCCGCCTGCGGTAGCGGGGCCGAGGAGGTTGCCGCTGCTCGGGAGCAAGGTCGGCGGACGGCGGAATGCCGGTGCGCACCAGCTCCGAGACCCCGTCCGTGTCCCTGCCCCGCGAGCTCCGCCAGCCGTGCGAAGCGCCGCTTCGTCGGCATGGGCCAGGCGTTGGTGGGCCATCCTGGAAGTGTTGGTGCAACAAGCCGTCACGAGCACTGCCCTCGGGTCAGCTGGGCCGCCGCCCCGCCACGCGAGCCGACAGTCGGCCCCAGAGCTGGAACGCGTGCTCGACGTTGGTGACGCACCAGGGCCAAGCCGCCTGCCGTTAAGCAGCCCGCAAAAAATGTCATAGGGTAGGAGGCGCCGAACCGTACCTTGCAGCAGGCCCTGGAGATTCATGCCAAAGAGCAAGGTCCTTGTTACAAAAATAATCCATGCACGGGCATTGCCTGCCAGGAGCCGGATGTGCAATCAAGTGAACAGATGGTGCTCGGACAAGGAGCTCTTATTGGAAGGAGCAAGGCGCCGGCGAGAGTCCGAAGGCGAACAGGGCAGGACGAAGGAAACATGGCGGAGGCTTCACGCGTGCGCCGGAGCTCAGACAGCGGCGCGGCCTGGTGGCGCACGAGAGCGAATGCGCCAATGCCATCAACAGACAGGACGGTGCAGCTGGAGTCCGTGTCGGTTCGAATTGGAGGCAGCGTGAATAAGGCAAATTGATGGGGGCGGATGGCTTCAGCAATGTGCCGGCTGTACTGCTAGGCAAGCGCAAGGGCGGCAGCGGAAACCCCCGACAACAAGTCCACGGCCGCTTCCGGCTTGTTTGCGCAGTGCAACCACGCGCCCGAAGCCGGGTGCTGAAGCTATCGAGGTGGGGAAGGTTGGTGTATGCAGTGCGACAGGCGCTCCACGGAGCCAGGACAAAAGATCAGGGTCAAGCGGGGCAGGGGCGACGGCTAGGGTCACATAGCTGTCGGAGGGTAGCTTGGGCGCTAAGCGCAAAAGGCTCGCCGAAGAGAGCGCTTCGAGCAGCCGAGAGCTTGCCCAAGCTTGCTAAACGTTGACCGCCCTGTCAGCACGTTGCTCGGTTCCAGGCTCCGTGACTGCGGCTCGAACGGGCAGGAGCCGTGGCCGCCTCACGCAGGAGTGTGGCCTATAGTCCTCGTTTTGGAAGCGGCAAAAATGCGTGCGCACAAGGCTTCGGCCGGTATGCGAGGGGCAGCATCCGGCCGGAACAACAGCATGCGAGGGAGGAACAGCTACAACAACAACATCCAGGCCTGCTGTGACTCAATGCTGGTGGCGGCAGCTGCAAGAAACTGAATCGCAGGCAGGCGCATGGTGTCGTCGGTTTGCAACGGGGCCATGCGGGGCGGGGCCATGAGGGGTGGAAGATGACGAAGAAATGGAGTGCAGAACTGGCGGTGCGAAAGGCAACATGCTCGACTGCTACGGGGGGGC